GGTAGGGTGAGGAGTTTGGTGATAAAGAAGATGATTTTTATTTATTTTCTTTTTGTTTTTGTTTTTAATGTAATTATTTAATGTCATTGAAAGTTTGGGACTTTTGTTGCAATTATACATAAAAAATTTCCATATAATTTGCAAAAAATAAAAAAAATTCGGTACTACAATTGCAATTTTATTCTAATTTTTTTTCTTTATATTTTTACTGTTTTTAACAATAAATTTGATAGATCTTAACGGTAGGTAATATTTCGCATAAAAGGTTTTCAAATATGTGGTTTCTGAGATTTTTAATAGATAGGGAGTGTATCGCAAATATAAACATTTTTAGGGGTTTCTGCTATTAAACCAAACAAATTAAGTGGATGCAATTTGTAATGCAATACGCACGATGATTACCCACTAGGACTTTATAATAATCTTTTGAGCACCGTTTTTAGAATAAATTTTATAAAAAATACATTTTTTTGTGGATTATGTGCAATTAAAAGTAATAAAACATATTGAGGTTACATGAAAAATTATTGAGAAAATAGTTAATTAAAAATAAATTTGAAAAAAATGAGTTTTGAAAAATTGAGCCCAGACATTGACAAGTTATATCACTGAAAAGTAAAGAGAGTATAATTTTTAAAGGAAAATGATATAAATTTTACTTGATCCCACGCTCGAAGAAAATTAAATAATCGGCGGGCCCCCCAATGTGAGAGAGAGGGCGTGGGGTCGGGTAATCTAAACCCCCGGGTACTTGTAGCAAAACACATTTTAAATCAACACAATTTATCTACGAAGGTATTTATAATATTCCGCACATTAATTGTATGTGTAATTGAATAGATTTCTCCAAAAGAAAAAAAATGAATAGAACTTGAAGTGATAAAATAAAGATACACTTTGAATAATGAAGTAAATGGAATTTAAAAAAATTAAGTACGTGATAGAATTATTAATTATAATTTATACTTATCTAACTTGTTGTGGTATAGTACAAAATAGATTACAAAAATAAAAAAAAATTATTATCCAAATGGATTTCGTTTTGACAAACTAGACAGAATATCACTGTCATGATGAAAGGAAATCCCAATTCTATTCTACTTATTTTTAGTTTTTTTTTTTTTTTTGTATTTCTTTTAATTTTATTATTATTTTTAATTAAAAAAATCAATTTTATTAGTTTCATGAAATATCCAGTTCTGCTTAGGGTTGGGTGCTGTTTGCGATAAAAAAAAAATGGTTTTCTTCGATTTTTTAAATCAATTTATAAAGAAGAATAATAGTCGGTCCAATAAAACGTGTAAACTATAGTGAGTGATAATTTTGATTGTATGGTTTGATTTTAATTAAATTTATAAATTGTATTCAAAGAGAGGCGAAGTTAGTTGACATTTTATGAATAATAAATAGTAAGTATTACAGGGAAAAGGACTTATAATTTTTAACTTAAAATTCAAACTTACAATACCACAGGCAAACACTGTATTGTATATTATAGACAGTATGATGAACTAAAATCACAGGGATTGGTAAGTGAATATACACAATATGAATGCACAAACAACAAAGCAAAAGGTACACCTCTAAAAGCTGCTTGGCATCAGACTTCCTCCAACGGCCACTTGATCAAAATAATACTCAAAAAACTCTTTATCCGATTCCGAGGCCCAACACGGCGGAAACAGCCACCCCTCCGCTGACGAGTCAACCACCGCCAGTTCATTCCTCGACTCAGAAGAGTCATAAGTTCCCTCCAAACTCGGCAACTCAATTATCTCAGCTAGCTCATCTGACCCTGGTGTAACTGAAATGGTAGTAGGCGATGACACACTCCCAGAACACGAAGAAGAAGAAGAAGACGATAATGAACTGAGCTCCTCCATTGCCGCCGCCTTAGCAGCCGCAGCCTGGATGTCCGGCGGTGAAAGCGAAGCTGGACGCGGCAACGTTTCACTGAGTTGAGGAAAATTAAGAATAGCCGAGTTACCCTTTATACTCAGCGCCGCCACATCGTGAGCTCTAGCAGCCATTTCTGCAGTGGGATAAGTTCCAAGCCATATACGCGATTTCTTGCGCGGCTGTCGAATTTCAGACACCCATCTTCCCCAGCTTCGCATTCTCACACCTCTATACACTGGGTGCCTACTCCCGCTTTCTCTTGCTCTCTTATTACACTTTTTTTGCATGGACTCAGAACTCGGTGGTGAATCAGCCATTTTTGGGAGCTTATTGAATGGCGCAAAAGAAGTATCCTTTTGGGAATTTAATGCATTAACAAATTTAAGCTAACGAGAAAGTGAGTTAGTTGGGTCGCACAGATGTGTGGTGGGAAGCAAAAAACCCAAGAAAGAGACAAATATCAAAGTTTACGTTAGAGAACGATAGCGATAGACTTAGGCTTTTAGCTAATTGGGTAAATCACTGAATTACAAATCTAATAATACACATTATTGTCACTACGTGGCGCGTTAAAACTGACGTGACATCTCTTGTCTCTCTCAATTTTTTTTTGGGTATTTCGATATTACGTATTTTTAGTAAATACAAAGATGTTAAAATACTTCGAGATGTTGAAAAAATGAGTTAGTGTATTTCCATTAGTAAATAGATCGAGTTAACGAAAATGTATTGGTAGGACAACAAATCTTGCTCGATTATCCTAGATTCTCGAAAATATCGAGATATATTTAAAAATCAGTCAAATTAGATTCAAACTAGCAACGAAAATTTTAAAAAATAACAAAAACAAAATTTCACAAGTCAGACAATTTTAATCGTTTGTTTGGAAGAAATTATAATAGGATTACAACAATAATAGGTAGTGAGTCTCACCAAATGTAGTGATAATAAGAACTCGTTTGATATGACTTTTTCTTTTGTGTTTACTTTTTTTTAGAAGAGTTTTTGAAAGAAGTTACTTTAATTTTTGTTGGGAAACTAATTTTCAAAATCACTTTCTATTCCAAAAGTACTTTTACAGGAAGTCACGATAGACCAACTTCCTCTAAAAAGTTCTTATAACTACCAAAAGTGTTTTTATAAAATTAATCAAACTGGTCCAGAAGCAACTTTTAGATCTTAAAAGCTCCTTTTGACTTTTCAAAAGGCATGTCAAACGGTTCTTAAATGTGCTGTAATTGTAAGTTCTAATTAATATATAGTTAAAATTAATATTTAACTTTGACATTTAAATAATAATTTCCTTTAAAAGAGCACAAGTTGACCAGCATATAGGTAAAATGTAAAAAAAAAAAAAAATTATTTACAAATTATATTATTTTATTAATAAAAACTTGTGATTAAAATTTAGACTAGGTCATTACATATAAACCAATTTAATTATGTAGTTTTTTTTTTCTCGCCGCCCATTAATATGAATTTTGGTGTCCAACTCGATTAAAAGAAACGAAGAGCGGTCCCAATACTTAATTTATTTATTCTGTCATTTTGTAACCACCAGACCAATCAAAATAAATATAACCCCGCACGCACTACTTTCCAATATCCCTGGGAAGGAGAGCTTTCTATTCAAATTTGTCCGTTGCATTTGCACCTGTATTTGTCGAGGTCAAAGTTTCTTAAATCATACGTTTGTATTAAATATTTCATCGTTGAAAAATATTCATCTACTCGATTTCAAATTTGTTGACTATAGTTTAGTTAAAAATTGATAAGTCAACCCCATTTTATGGGATCTACAATTTTTCGTTAATTTTTTAAAAATAAATTAACTATCTAATTTTTAACTAAACCGAACTGGGATTAACTGCACATTTTACATTTATGAATTACAGCCTAAACTTTCATAAATGCTTGCAAAATGAGTCGTGTTGAATAATAAAATAGAAAAGTCAGAGATATATTGTAATGATTGCAAAAATTTAAATTGTACCTACAATATTAAAA